AGAAAAAAAAAACAGTTGGCAACTATTATAAAATTAAAAAAAAACACTTTTTAAATTTAAAATTTTACCCTAGTGTTTTTTGAAAATACAACACCCAAAAAATAAAAGAAATTCCAGAATAATTAATTCCTTGCATTAGTTGTTTATCTTAGTTGTAAAATGTAAAAGCCAAAAAAAAGGATGAATCAATTTTCCTTTTTCCCCAATTTCTAGCCTCTATTTTTTTTAAAAAAATAAAATATCTTTTCTTGTAGCCACTTAATTTTTAAAAAATACAAAGAGAGAATCAACAAAAGAAAATTAATCCATTTTCACAGCCAGAAACCCCCCCCCCCCCCCCCCACTAATTTCATAGGAATCTAATAAAACTATAAAAGGCTCTTTTTTTTAAGAGAAGTTTATATTTAAAGATTCCAAACTATCACTATTTATATATTAGAACACATTTTTAAGTTGATATCACCAATTATAAGTTTTTTTTTCCTCATATCACCATCTATTTAATCTAATGTGTTTTTAATACATAAATAATGCTAATTTAGATCGAACAAGTTATCTGATAATTGAAATTTTAACCAACTAAACTATTAAACTATTAAAATTTCTATGAACAAGTGATGACTCCATATAATTAAATGAAATTATGTATATATTGATTTATAGTAAACACTCGTTACAACTCTATTTAAAAGAAAAATACTCCCAAACAAAAAATACTTTTTTTAAACCAAAAACTCAAAATCCAAACTTTTTTTAATTACTAATTTTTTATTTTGTGAGTCAAAAACTCATACCTAAAAGTCTCACCACCCCATAAAATATAGCCTCTCTTCCCTTTTTTTTTTGGTGTCTTTTTTTTTTCTCAATCAAAATAAGTCCATTTTTCTCTTCTTCTTCTTCCTCTCTTCTGTGGAGACTGATGAGACTTCATTTTTTCCCCCACTTCTCATGCATTACAACTCTATAGAAAAATACAACAAAAAAGAATTAATCTTTGGGTGTTCATAACTGATAAAAGGTGTAAAGGAAAAAGAAAATACCCAAAAAATAGAAAATAAAAATGGTGAACTATTATATGTTCTTTTTCATATTTTTGTCTTGTATTCTTGTTTTGGTTTCTGGGTTTTCAAGAAATCTGCCAATTTTAGCTTTTGATGAAGGTTACTCTCATTTATTTGGTGATAATAATCTTATGATCCTTAAAGATGGAAAATCAGTTCATATTTCTCTTGACAAAAGAACAGGTTTGTTAAAAAATATGTTTTATTAAGGAGAATTAATTTATTTATTGTTTTTTTGGTGTTTTTTTAATGGATGAGGTGTTTTGCAGGGGCTGGATTTGTGTCTCAAGACCTTTATTTTCATGGATTTTTTAGTGCTTCTATTAAGTTACCTGCAGATTATACAGCTGGTGTTGTTGTTGCATTTTATGTAAGTTATTATTAACTAAGTAATTGATTTTTTTTGTATAAATTAGAAGTTTTTTACTTGTCATGAGTGAAAGTTTTGATTTTTTCTGTTTTTTTTTCCACTCCCATATGGATTCTTGATGATTTTTTCATATGTTAATTTATTTTGTAAAATTTTCTTGTGTAAAGATTGGATTTTTAACCTTGCAATGATGTTTAAATAGTTAATTTTCAGTCTGTGTTATGTTAATGAAATGAACCAATAGTTTTATTTTTCATTATGTTAATTAGTACAAGTTTTTGCTTCCCATGAGTGAAAGTTTTGATTTTTTTGTTTCAGTTGTCCATATGGATTCTTGATGAATTTTTTGTAAATATATCACCTTTTTCCTCAGTTTATAAAATCATTTTTACCTTTAAAGAATGTGTTTTTAATCATCTAATGGAAATTGTGTTTATAATAATAAATTAGTAGCTTTTTCTTCCAAGAGGTGAAAGTTCTGTTCTTTTCAGACTCTTCTTGATGATTTTTGAACTGTTAATTAATTTTGTAGATTTCTCCCTTTGAATGGTTTTTTAACCAATCTAATGGGAATTGGTAATTTTCAAGTTGTGTTAATAATGAAAACTAAAATCTTGATTTTTTTGTTGAACTTTTACTAAAGTTTGTTGATGACAGATGTCTAATGGGGATATGTTTGAGAAGAACCATGATGAAATTGATTTTGAGTTTTTGGGAAATATTAGAGGCAAAGACTGGAGAATTCAGACTAATATTTATGGGAATGGTAGCACAAATGTTGGCAGAGAAGAAAGATATGGACTTTGGTTTGATCCTTCTGAAGATTTTCATCAATACAGTATCCTTTGGACTGAGAATTTGATCATGTAAGTTAATATCTCTGCCCTTTTAATGTTTCATTCCTAATTTTGATCATGTATGGTCTACGGGGCGGAGCTAGGTTGAAAAATTACATCATATATCATAGATATTGAACCCCCTTGGCTTGAATTCCCTTGGTGAATATCCTGGTTCCGTCACTGGTGTGGTTTGTAACCTATGTTGCTCGGACTCGAAATATAGTGGATTTTTGGAGGATTTGACAGGGGCTATGAGTACGAGTACGAGAACATTTTTAGAGAGTTAGGTTGTAACAACTTTTTTGTTTGTCATACCATGAGTTTTCACATCCAGCTATTAAAATGGTTTCTTTTATGAGTAAAGGTTCATTTAGATGTCTGTGTTTTGTGATGCACATGTTTCTGTTTTTAACTAATTTTGTATAATAAGTACAACAATTATTACCAAACTTTTTGAATTATTTGTTTTTAATAGTTAAGCTGAAGAATCAAATGAATAGAACAATGTGTGACTAGAAATTTTGTTCTGATATGTTGTCACAAGATTTTTGATTGATTTTTTGTGTCAATGAATGTACATGAGTGACAAGGCCTTTCTTAACATACCCTTTTGTTGGCATGGGACTATGGGAATCTTTTGTTTGTTTCTTATTATTATTTTGCTTAAGATGGTACATTCCCTATTATGATGGTTGTGCTCGTCGAGGACTTGGCCGTCAATAAGGAATGGGGTAAGGTCTACGTATACATTAGTCTCTCAAACCACATTTGTGGGATTGCATTGGGTTTGTTTTATGCTAGCAATGCAAATATTGCGCGGACTCTTCAAATATGCAGCCTATTGTTTGTCTGATCCTCCAAAATTAGTGTATATCCGGACGGATCAGACAGACGCTACAACATTTTTGGAGAGTCCGAGCAACATAGCTATCATGTACTTTGTGAACTCTTCAAATATGCCTCCCTGATTCTGTTTTGTTTGTATTTGTGTTGTTTTGCATCTTGTTGCAGCTTTTATGTAGATAATGTCCCCATAAGAGAGATCAAGAGGACAAAAGCCATGGGTGGGGACTTCCCATCTAAGCCAATGTCCTTGATAGCTACAATATGGGATGGTTCTAATTGGGCTACAAATGGTGGAAAATACAAAGTCAATTACAAATACGCCCCGTATATCGCTGAGTTCTCCGATTTCATCCTCCACGGATGCGCGGTTGATCCAATCGAACTGTCATCCAAATGTGACAACACTACGCCAAAAACTCCAACGATCCCTACCGATATCACCCTTGACCAAAGACGAAAGATGGAGAACTTCAGAAAGAAGCAAATGCAATATTCATACTGCTATGACAAGACCAGGTACAAGGTCCCTCCTCCCGAGTGCGTGATCGACCCTAAGGAAGCCGAACGACTCCGAGCCTTTGACCCCGTTACATTTGGAGGATCCCACCACCATCATGGGAGACGACATCACCGGAGCAGACCAAAGTTGAAGGGTGATGATGATGTATCCTTTATGTAAAAGAAAAAAGACCCAATCCCATAAGTTTTTCTCTATATAGTCACATGATGATATGATCATTTGAGGTTTTGTTATTTTCACATGTGAATAGAGGATATATTGTTGGGGTATGTATATATGTCATACCTATATAGGGGTCCCAAGCCATGTTCTAGTTGATGTATTTTGTTGTTTGGGCCTTTAATTTATAAATTCAACTTGTTGGTGATTTTGTGTACTTTTTTTGTGACACATTAATAAATGCATGAATAGTACAAAGATTATTTATTATACTTTTGTGTGTTCTTTAAGCATGTTTGTTGCTACTCATGATGTCTTATTATAAGTTTTTTAGGCCTCTCTTGTCATGTTGTGAGGACCATTTGTCAAATGGTTGGCTGCAAAAATCCAAAGTTTTTGATTGTGACTGCTGGAAATCTAAAGACCATATTATTATCTTTTTTATTTATATTCTTTTAAGGAAGAATAATAGGATTGGAAAGTTTGGTCATTTGTTTTGCCAAATGTTGGGTGAGGTGGTAAATACATATTAATTCTTCACTAAAGTCTCGAATTCGAGCATTTGTATTCTATTAGAGGTCTTGAATTCAAGCTTTCAGAATGGAGTCGCCTTTCAGAACATAAAAAAGATTGATAGTCAATACTTAGAAAAATTACTTGAAGCTTCGATATGATTATAAATTCAAGCCGTGAAATTAACAACTAATGCTTGTATAAGGGTACTGTCTACATCAACATCTGGCCCTTCCCCCAAATCTTGCCTGTGTGAGGAATGCCCAAGTACTTTGTTGTAATTTACAAAAAAATTTACATATTAAAAGAATCGAGTTCAGATGAAATCAGTGACATACTACATCTAAAACCCGTACAATCAACCCAATAACCCAATTATCGGTTCGAGTGATTGGTTTAACTGTTACTTTGCCCAACCCTAAGTTGAACAAATGAAATATATCACCTAATGAGAAGATAAGACGGGCTTAACCAAACGACAAGGTCAGAGATTCGATGTGTATACTCATATCTTCCTTAAAACATTGGCATCTCCCACAATAACTTGGCTCTCAACCATAACGAGGATGACATACTTGGTGTAGTCCCACGAGGATCATGCCCCTACCTTATAGGTGGTAGAGAGACTATTTCCAATAGACCCCCGACTCAAGGATTTCAATCAAATAAGTATTTGAAAATACACTGGATGCTAAACATAGAAGATCAAAAACTGGTAAAACAACCAAAAGAGTCGAGAAAAATCAATGGCTCTTGTTCTCTTTGGTCTTGACTTCAACTACTAGCTTGAAGCCTTAATGGGTCAAAAGGTACCTCCATCATGATCATGATGTACATGTTCTACCTCAAAACAAAACTCGAAAAGAATATATTAGAGTATTACATAAGAAATAAAAGTAAAAACATCTTCGAGTAGGGTCAGTTGTTGAATGGTGTAGATGGGGGCATTAGAAGATTAGGACAGTTATGTTCCTACTTGAAGCATACTACTAACTGTTTTTCATCTTCGCTGTATGTGTTTCTCCATATGTTGAACAACCGAGATCACGACTTAAACAACATTCAATCAGAACCAACGTCTACCCCTTTTTTCTTCAAGAATTCCCTGGCTTCAACAATATCCTACAGAAGAAACAGCAAATGAACAACGATAAGATATGTATTATTTAGTTATGTTCTTATCATCCTTGTCTGGACCCTTTTTCCAATAATATGATCCTTTTATTCGCAATGAAATGCTAAGAAGCCTAAGCCCTTAATTCCTCGGCACTATCTTGGCTAATAATAACCTTGTCAGCTAGCAGAAAAGTAGGCAACTATTGCTTGGATTCTCCAAAAATGTTAACCACCCTCCACTTCTGGAGGATCTTGCACCAACCCGTCAACATTTTTGAAGAGTTCGAGCAACATAGGTATGCAATATTTCTTGAATGAAAAGTGCAACTGTACCTGCTGTAAGAAAAGAGCCTCTTGAGGACACGTGGGAAAATTCATTAGACCAACACCAACCATTAACAGACCATAGCAACCAAGGGACACAATGAGGTATAGAGGCAACTGCAACAGCGATAGCAATAAACTAAGAATCACTGAAAAGTAAGAAACTTTGCCAAAGCCCAAAGGTAACAGAAAGATGGTCAGTCAATAAGAGCTCACCAGCCAGGTATAGCTCTCTGGAATAGTTGATGTCTGCAACAAGCCTATCCAAACAGCAGTTACTGCAAGCAATAACGCCAAAATCTTCACGATATGTTTCATTGGATCTGCAGTGATGCATTAATTTGATGTGAGTAATAGAGGAGACTAAAGTTTTTCATTGATTAACATATAATAGAAGTCAACGACTGAAACATTAAGAAGCCAACTCAATTAACTATCAGGGTGTCTTTGATTTGAAGGAAAATAAGAGGTTTTCTTACTTATTTTCCAGTGTTTGGTTGGTGAGTGGCAAAAGAATTTCAATGTTGGTAGGTGAGTGAAATATTTTGCATTCTTTGGTTGTAAGGAGAAAGTTTGCTAACAATATTACAGAAATGGCTTCTGTGTTATTCTCTCACCCCCGCCCCCATCCCAAATTGATCTACATCTATAAAACAACAACGAGATTTTTACACAGTATATATATATGTGTGTGTGTGTGTGAGAGAGAGAGAGAGAGAGAGTTGCCGTGTATAATTTATGTACATCAGCTAGGGGCTGTAAATATTTTTTGGCTGAGAGGCCAAGTGTGTAGAAAGTCACAAACAAATGCATTGTTAACATGAAACTTCACGGCCTACATGGATGTCCACATGGATGTCCAATGTTAGTTGATATTATGATCATTCCTTTGGAATTAAACTACTTTTCTATGTCAGTGTCAAAGCCAATGCAAGAAAACAGAAAGCAAAGACCTCCATATTAGTTTTCAAAAAGTTATAAAAACTTCAAATCTAGACTAACAAAATACTGGATGATGCAACCAACTAACAAAATTATGGAGCACTATATGAAAGCCAACAACTAAAATCCGGTGCAGATACAGAAGATCAGATAGAAAAAAATGAAAGAACTAAAACCTACTACCTAGCAATGTTCTTCTAACTGATGATGTGTTCTAGTTTTGTTGCTTGAATCTTTCCAACCACAAATATTCCGTTGGTTTGCACCATCTAAATTGTTTCTCACCCTTTCTCTCCATTTGTTTATTGTTACAGGAAACGTATCGGATCTACATTCACCAGATAAGCAAGCATTATCAACAACATATTTTCTGTAACAACTCCAGTTTCACAATAGAAACACTCAAATATTATAATCACTACACTCAAAGTTAAATGGGAAAATGGAACTCACAAGGAAACTATTGAAGAATATAACTAGAAGGGAGATGAGAAGCTTAAACTCAAAGCAAAGGGATGAGAGGACTAGGTTCTCAACCATCTGCATAAGTCTAATTTGCTCCACAAGTCATATTTATCAACTCGGATCCCAAACATAGTCTCTTAATTCGGTGTTGAGCTGGTTTGCCCATACTGGTCCTGGCCCGTTCATAACAATACCACCCTCCTGAATACGAACCTTGTCCTCAAGGTTCAAGTGCAGAAATGTCAACAGTGAAAAACTATCACTCTCGTAAAGTGAAACATGCTTCTCTGTCTAAATTCCATTAGGGAGTAGTGTAATAACAATTTCGTAACTAAGATGCAACACAGATATTCGCTTCTGCTTTCCAAGCCAGAGCATTAGTTGATGATTACTGTTAAATGGTTGATCCAACTCCTCAACGGAATTCCGTATAACAATTAATTAGTGCGAATTCAAGGCCATGTAACAGATTCTTAAAGAAGTTGAGAACACTAGAATAGCTGATAGTATATCCTCATGGAAAGGTAGTAGATTAGTGTACCATAGAACAGATAAAGAGTCAGTCCAAAAAGTAATACAGGGGACAGTCATTTTCTCATCCATTGACTTTCTTGCTGGCATATCATTGCCTTCTCCAATATCGAAAATCCCCACTCCATTATTTAAGAACACAACAGCTTTGATGGACTAGACAATGTGATGTTGTTCGCCTAAACCAACTGTGAGGACTAGTAGAGATGAAACAAGGAGAAATATCAAAGATACAGGAGGCTCAGCATCTCCAAACATAGAAGTAATCAACACTGTCAGTGAGTAAACCAAAAATTAAGTCGGCTGTAAACATTTGACAAGGAATGAATAAGGTCTTAGTGTCTAGTCCTCATTGAAAATATTCATGCATTTGTTGTAAGCAAATGGATGACGACCTCCAGAAGCCATAAGCTGAAAAGCAGCAACAAATTCCCTGAACCATTCACAACAGCAGCATACGACACTGGTCAAAGACTTCTTGAAAAAACCGTCAGTGACAACCAGAACAAGGCGAAGGATGAAAGCCATCTTTCAGTATCATGATTCTAGGGAAGATTGTGGAAATAAGTTGAATTTATTCGCGTTTGAAATGGAACTAAAAGGGGTTGTCTAAGGTGCAGATGAACAGTTCGATAAAAGTCCTAAACGAATCATCCCCTTATAACCTTGGTCCTAACTGTTTTTGTTGATTCATATGAATCCATGGTGATTTATTCTCTGTGCTAAAAGATTAGTGCAACATCACTATGGCTGCTTCACTTTTTACCAACAAATCACCTTAAAATCCACCAAACCTAAAAAAATCACCCAATAACTCCAATCCCATAAATTTTTACATTAACCCCAATACAATTTAACCAATTTGATAACACCCAGATGATAAAAATCTAATCTTTTCACAAAATCACCTAAAAAAATCACCAATAACACTGATCCCATAAACTTTTACAGAAATCCCAATACAATTTTAGCCAATTTAGATCACACCCACATGATAAAAATCAAATCTTTTGTTTAGAACAAAGAAAATAATTAGTAAAAAGTAAAACTAAAATCATAAAAGGGAACAAACCTGATATTGAATATGAAGCCTGCTCCGATCAGTTCCAATCAGGTTTTGCAGTTGTGTTTTTCTTTTTTTAACAAAAATTAATTTAAGGTATTTTTTCAACAAATTTAATATACAGTTCAGACACCTCTAACAGACAGCAGTTGACGTGTCTGCCTATTTTATTTAATTATATAAAAAGAAATTCTTAACCCCAGCCATCAAATCAAATTTTATTTTTAATTTATTTATTTTTAAAATTGGCATTTCTTTTCATAAAAAGTTATGTATAAAAAATTGTGATTTCAATGAAAAGTTGCGATTTTTACAAGAAAATGTTTCTTTTATTGAAAAGTAACGACTTTAATAAATAGTTATGACTTTTAAAAAAAAAATTGTGACACTTATCGTCACTAAAAATGTGTTTTAGTGGCAACCTTTGTCACCGCCAATACCTATAAAAGTCGCTAAGTGTAACTCAATGATTGCAATTCAAGAAGGGCATGAAGCTTTGACTCAGCCAATCAATCGCCTTCTTAGTTAGCTGTGGAACCTGCCCTTTAGCCATCTATCTTTAGATACGGAGGGCCAGAAAACTGACGGAATTCTAGGATTCCTTTTGGAGGCAAATACTTTTATAGGTGGCAACCTTTGTCACCACCAATGCTTATAAAAGTCGCCACTAAAAGTGTATTTTAGTGGCAACTTTCGTCGCCGCCAATGCCTATAAGAGTCGCCATTAAAAGTGTGTTTTAGTGGCAACCTTTGTCGCCAGCAATGCCGATAAGAGTCGCCACTAAAAGTGTGTTTTAGTGGCAACCTTCTTCGCCGCTAATGTCTATAAAAGTCGCTACTTAAGATGTCCTTTGGTGGCAACCTTTGTTGCCGCCAATGCCTATAAGAGTCTCCACAAGAAAGTGTGTTTTAGTGGCAACCATTGTCGCCGCTAATACCCATAAAAGTCACTACTGAAGTGTGTTTTAGTGGCAACTTTTGTCGCCGCTAATACCCAAAAGTCGCTACTGAAAGTTGTTTTAGTCAACCTTTGTCGCCGCTAATGCCCATAAGATTGCCACTGAAAGTATGTTTTAGTGCAACCTTTGTCGCCGCCAATGCCCATAAGAATCGCCACTGAAAGTTGTTTTAGTGGCAACATTATCGCCGCAAATGCCCATAAGAGTTGCCACTAAAAGAAATTTTAGTGGCAACCTTTTTCGCCGCTAATACCATAAGAGTCGTACTGAAAGTGTGTTTTAGTGGCAACCTTTGTCGCCACTAATACCCATAAGAGTCGCTACTGGAAGTATGTTTTAGTGGCAACCTTTGTCGCCGCTAATACCCATAAGAGTCGCTACTGAAAGTATGTTTCAGTGGCCTATACAAGTCGCTACTAAAATTGTGTTTAGTGGCAACCTTTGTCGCCGCTAATGCCTATAGGAGTCGCTACTGAAAGTATGTTTTAGTAGCAACATTTGTCGCGCTAATGCCTATAGCAGTCGCTACTGAAAGTATGTTTTAGTAGCAACATTTGTCGCCGCTAATGCCTGTAAAAGTCGTCACTAAAATTGTGTATTAGTGGCAACCTTTGTCGCCACTAATGACTGTAAAAGTAGCCACTAAACAAGTGATTTTCTCTTTAAAAAAATTATTTATGTTGTTGTACCAGTATATTCTTAATGGTCTTAACTTAGTTATAATTAATATTGACTATCAAAATTTTTACATATTTTTTTTCACCAGAGTTATTTTAACCATAAAATTATTGTCTTTTTTCATGTACAAAAAGAGAAAATATGTTTGATTTCTATATAAAAACATCACTCAATTTTAACAACACAATCACATTATCAAACATATATTATGATAAATTGTGTAAAAGATATCTAGATATTTTTAATCATTCAATATATATTTACAATTCTTTAGATTTGTGATAATGTCAAATCACTTAATTTCCATTGAAATGTTTTGAAACATAAAAAAATTTGCTCTTTTTATTCTTATAATGATCGATTCTTGAAAAAATTGTTCAAAAATTTAAGAAGATTATTTATGCCCGTGCAAAGCCGAATAAATTACCTAACTATATTATATAGAAAATTAGAAATATTTATTTATTTCACACTATTATAACAAAATATATATAATTTAATGGGATTTCAATCTAAAAACAAAAATACAAGTTTTGTGGGGTTTACAAGTGGCCCTAAAATAAGCTGTTGATGAAGTTCCAATAATGGCAGATAGTGAACACCCTCGTCTCATTCTCCATAACTTTCTTCCTCTAGATCTTTGCAAGGTCCAATTTCCCTAATTTACAAACTTTAAAGAGTAAAAAGTTTGAAGAAAAAAAAATTCATTCTTTTGATAATTTTACATAGTGTATGTGATTTTTAATGTTTTTGTTTGTTAATTGCAGGAGTTAGAGTTTATACACAAGAGTTGTTGTACAGTAGGGTACAGGCCAAATGTGTTTTCTACAACTTTATCTCATCTTATTGCAACTAATTGTGCCCATTTCATCATGCCCATCATTCCAATCAGAGGTTTCTTTAATCTTTTTGCTCCAATTTGTCTATTCTTGAAATCTAATTGTCAATTTCTGTTTTTTGGCGAGTTGATTTCTCATATGGTTACTCCGACTAAAAGTTTATTTATCTTATGAAGTCTCTTTCTTTGTTTGGAATCATGAATGTATGACTTTTTGAGATAATAACTACTCTGTCAGTTTTAATTTGTTTGTCATGTTTTGAGTTGACACTGAGTTTAAGGGAGTAAAATTTGAATGTTTGTAGTCTTGGATGAAACATATATCAAAATACCTTTTTGTTTTCTGGTTTTAAACATGCAAGTTAATAAAGATTTGCCCATAAAAGGAAGAAAGAAGCATATCTTCTGAAACGGTAGAAGGAAAGTAGGATAAACAAATTGAAACGGAGCGAGTATTAGTTGAGAGACTATTTGACAATCAACCTTTTAATGGCCTATTAAAGGTAGGGGTAAGGTTTGTGTATACTCTAATCTCCTTAGACCTCACTTGTGGATTACACTTGTTGTTTTAGTAGTTTCTGTTTACCAGGTAATTTCAGTACAAAGTTGATTTTTTTGTTAATTTTTACTTAATCTTTGATTTTTGCTTTATGGGTGTGTGGTAGAGAGGCTAAGGGAGAAAGCAGAAGAGTATTTTGGTTGCCAGTACGAGTTGTTTGTCGAATTCACTGGTCTGATCAGGTTGAGACTCCATTTCTTTCCCTTCTATACTTACTTATGATCATATCCTTTTTACCAAGCTAAATTAGGCAGAGAGTTATCGAAATTTTGCCTAATTTAACTAAAGCATGGTCCATCTCAAGCCTTTGCAGAGACAACATTGTGGTTACGGGTTGGCAGCATCGAGTAGCTAGGCTCAAACTCTGTATTGTATTAAAAAGTCATTTAATATGTATAAATAATCTGTCTGGAATTCGTATTGGATTCATATACAGTCTTTTGCAGCTATTTTGAAATGAGGGCTAGCTGATATCGTTGTATGTGTCTCTTCAATTTCGAGAGTAGATAGTCGAGTAGAATAAAGAGAGATAACCTGTCCAAGTAGGAAAAAGACTTTGTGTCAGTTTGGTATAGAACATGAGTTTCTTGGACAAGTTGAGACATTTCTTGTCACATTAGAAGATATATTTCCCCAATGTAGTATCAATCACATTGTTTCTCCTTCAGGATTTTATCCTTCCTGTTGTTGATCATAGTGAATTATAAGTCTTGACTGCTATGGAGCTATTTGTATAATGTTCTGTATGGATTACAGCTGGTGTAGAGGAGCAAGTATCGGTTGGCACAGTGATGATAATAGACCATACCTTAAACAACGGGATTTTGCGGTGCGTTCTTTACTTCTTGTTGTGTTTTTCTGTCGTTATTTGCTACATATTGTTAATTTTATGTTATCAACAATGTATTGCTTCGTTTTGCAGCTTCCTGTTATTAGTATAGCCAATAAATGTAGAAAATACACCCTTCCCCTTCCTGGGGTTGGTGAATATGCAGGACAGACAAAAGCTGACAGCCACTATTCACATTTGGTTTGGAGAACAAAAGCTGACTTCTGCTCAAATTCATCCAGTATAACATAGTAATATGATCGATATCATCAAGATGTATCGTATCTCCCTAGAGATGAAGACCAAAAGGCCTTGCAGTTGACAATGAGTTATATAGTTAAATTCTTCACTTAGGTTTATTTCTGTTTTCATGATTAATGAAGCAGTAGCTGACTTTTGGGGCGGGGATTAGTCAAGGGGATCATCTCTCCCCATTACTGTATTATTTCGTCGTGGGAATCTTACAATAAACTAGTGACAGACCTGTAAGAGTA